CCCCCAAACTCGCGCCATGTCCCTGGTATGTTTCCTGGGCGGAAATGCGAGAAGGGTGGGATCTGGTTTTCTCTTCGGATGACCACTCGTGGTTCAAAGTTTCGGGCCCGATTGCTGCTCTTAGGATGTCGCTTTATAGGCTGGCCTGGTCTATGCCCAACTTCTGTACCACTGTGGACGATTTCGGGCGTGAGATATCCCTGGCCCTGTCTTCCCCGAAATTGGTAACACACTTTTGTAAGGAGGCGTTTTTTTTTCGCTCCCTCGAGAGGGACTCGGGTGATAAGCTTCGTGTCCTCGAGCGTCTGCGCTGGGATGTTCAAAAACAGCTCCTCGCCTCCAGCAAGATATCGGGGAAGACGAAGGGGATGATCCGTGCCCTCTCTACCAACGCCTGCTGGGCAGCGGGTGATGCAGCCGACCTCGGCTACCCGATCTCCTTTTTGCGCGGCCTGTGCGGCGAGGCCAAGGACAGCCTCTTCCACAGGCTCTACGAGTGCCCGTGTGTGCAGAAAGAGCGTGACGAATTCCTTCCTGCTTGGGTTCTGGGAGTCGGCAAAAGCAAGTGATTGGAACGATCCCGAACACAGGGCCCTATTTCTTTCCGGCACGTTCAAGCACCCAGGAGACTATGCGCCGTCACCACTCACGGACGGTAGAATATCCCTCGTATGGCATACCGACAGCCTGCCTGACCCAGCCGACCCCTCCCTCCCTCCTGTTCCTACCAGTGACGGGATCTGGGGGCACCTTTTTTATGGATGTGTCGTGCTCTAGGCACACGGTTCGTGAATTGTCTCGTGCTGGTTGGGCCGTCGTCGTGGTTTCCTCCTCGGGAGAGCGTCTCTGGACGGCGATGGGACCCTCGTGGGCCCCGTGGCCTCAAACTCCCCAGGGGGCTGAGTTCGGAGCTTACGCCTGGACGGCGGCATTTGCGCACGGGCCCTCGCACTGTTATTCTGATTGTGCCAGTGTCGTTCTGCTGCATAATCTGAGCTGCGCTGATGCCACAGGCCCGCGGAGACAGTATGCGGGACTTGTGCTGCAGGCGAATGCGAATTCCGGTTCTCTGTGCGGGTCTTTTAAGAAAGTGGCAGCCCACAAAGATATCGATGAAAAAGGTATGAGCGCCGAAGAGCGGTTTCTTCGAACGGGTAACTTCTTCGCCGATACAGCAGCCAAGGAGACGGTTCGCCTTCATCCAATATTAGATCCCTCCAAGGAAGAAGAGTTGAAGCGGACGCTAACCATTGCTCGACATGTCCTGCTGTCGGGCGCTCAGCTCCTGCCATTTTGGCCTAAAATTGAATTTCGTGGCCTAGTGCGCTCCCGTGCCCCACCGCCTCCCGTCAAGGATGTTTTGGTCCTGGCTCACGAATGGGAGCGCATGGGTTCGATTTGAAGATGCAGGGTGTGCCTGAGAGGCTCTAGGAGCGAGTCCTTGCCGACTCGGACCGAATGTTCGGGCCGCAATCGGCTAGACCATGGCCCCCTGATGCGTCTCGGCCACCGCGTGATCGCGTTCCCGTGCAGCGACAAGTCACACCTCTTCTTGCGCTTGTCCTGCAAATGTTATAGCTCTGGCGGCCAAGTGATGCGGCTAGGCAGGCCTTGTGGTCAGCCGACCATCACAGGGATTAGAAATACGCGCTGTCTCCGCAAGGGACGTCACCCAGACAAAAAGGAGGTCTCTGTGGATATTGACAAATTCATCCCATTGCTGTGACCTACAGCGTGTAGCCCCACGATCGGATCGTGCTGTGGCTCCACTGTGCGGTCTCATTTCGCTGTTGTGGTGCTGCCTCCCGGCCACCGCAGTACACTGTTAAAACGAGGGGCCTGGGCGTTGCGGCCAATAAAAAGGGAAAGGTGGATGGGAAGACGGGGAAGGCGGGGACTGGTGAGATGTGGGGGGAAGATGATGATGCTGCCGTTCATGATGATGACAAGGAGGAGGAGGAGGAGGAAAACGAGCAGTGCGAGGAGGAAGGGTCTCCCTCTCCCTTTCCCTCTGCTCCTCCGCACAAATCCTTTTCCCCATGTTCGTTGTGCATCGTTCCTCCCTGTCGCACCCCAAAACGTGTTGGTAGAGCGGTTTTGGCGTTTCGCCTGAGACTTCCTCACCGCGTATGACCCTGAAGCATCAAATCTGCAACAGCTTCAATGATGGATAGCGGGAGGTGTTCAAGATGCGATCGCCTTGGCGTCCACGCACATTCGTCTTGGACGTTAGCAGCAGTTTCGCGGATTGGGCACACGTAGTCTTCGAAAGATAGCTATCACCTTACCGCCGCGCGCATTCGTAAAGTCGCGCACCAGCTCCACACATGGAGCGGGAATCGTTTTCGGAATGTGGCTCTCGCCTCAGCTTCCGCGCACTTTCGCCTTCAACGTTTGCAGCAATATCGCGGTTGGGGGGCGGCTCTCGCTTTGGAGCCGGGCACAGCATTAGCAGTTTTCATAAGCTTCACGGATGGAAGAAGGGTCGTTTTCAAATTGGGGCGTTCGCCATCACGCCGCGCACGCTATTTTTGAACGTTTGCGACAGGTTCACGGATGGAGGGCGGCTCCTTTTCAAATTGTGGTTTTTGCCTTAACGCCGCGCGATTTCGACATAGAAATTTGCGATAGGTTCGCGGATGGAGGGCGGGTCGTTTCAAAATGATAACAGGGAGCATGTCGACCCCAACCCCAGATTGTGCGTTCTCGGCTGGAAGAAATGTGGGACTCAACTCGAGGATATACGATGTGGGGGCGTTTATCCTCGGAAGAGGTGCGTCCAGCTAGCCCCCATGGGGGTGTATCCCAGATTTTCCCCTTTTTCTGAGGCGGGTACCTCGAAGGTTGGAGGAGAAACATCGCCTGCGAAACGAGGCTCTCGCCTCAGCGCCGCGCACAATCGTCTCAACAAGTTTCAACAGCTTTACGGGTGGAAGGGAGATCGGATTCAAAATTGTACTCTCGCCTCTGCACCGCGCGCATTCTCTCACAAACTTGCACTAGCTTCACGGATGGATGGGGTTCCTATTCAGAAGGGGTTCTCGCCTCAGCGCCGCGCGCACTCGTTGTTTACACCTGGCATTTCTCGGGAAGGACAACTACTCTATTTCAGAAGAAAGCTCCTGCCTAAGACTTCGCTTATTTTCAAGACTAGGATGTTCACCGCACGTAGCGCTGCACGGATCCATGGTGGCGGATATAAAGAATGGAGCTGTCGTTTGAGAGTTTCTCGAATTTCGTGGCCACACT